CATATGCCGTTTTTACCACTTAGCATACGGCATATTTTGCTACTTGCGACTCGCAACTTGGTACTCGCATACGGCACTATTTCTACGTCGTACATACCTCGCTGGGGATGTAATTGTCAGTTTGATCAGACAGGTCTACAATGTACACATATCAGTTTCAAAGAGACCAGTTCCCTTTTTCAGGACTTCTTATAATAAAATTCATCAACTCCTGAATCAACTTCATTATTTATTTAGCATATTTGGTCAGTAGCATATGCTTTATACATAAATGACAGAGGTGTGTCAGGGCAAAATAAGACATATTTTCATAGATTTTTACAATTTATACAATTTTTGGTGTATGTTCACTACTAATGCATGCAAAAATGCATAATTATAGCAATATATAATAATATTATTAATATTTTATAGGTATTTTTGTGAGTGTACATGTATGTATTAAAATATGCAAAATTATCAAATACAAACATAGTACACATACAAAGTAAGCAAAATTATCTAGAATGATTTTGGATTTGTTAAAAAGTAGCCGAAATGTTGTGACACTATATCTAATTGGTAGCGGGAATTGCGAATCCAGTTATAAAAAAAGCCTATAAAATTGTGAACAAATATTTTTGTGAATATCACTGACCGGGTAAGATGCCCACCACTAGGTGTCTTGTACATTGTGTATGTCAAAGTAAATATGGGAATTAATTTATTTGAAAACATTGATATGTATGCAAGACATAAAAACATAATGTTAGGGAGGGTGTGTGGAGGTCAGGTAATGAACAAATCTTAGATGAGTCCACAAGGGATTTACAATGTACATATACGAAAATAAAGCAATCTGACAAGTTTTCAGAAGTTGAAAATATCATTTTTTACCAAAAATGACAAAAATTAAAGAATCGAAAATATACCCATGCAATGAACAAACTTGAGATGAGTCCAACTACATATATTTATAAAAAATAAAGCAATTGGACTTGCGGTTTTCAAGAATAATTCAAAAATATAATTTTTGACCGGAAATTACAAAAATATTCATCAAAATTAGAAAATTGAAAATATCACAAAGTGAACAAATCAGAGAGAGGTCCACCCGAAGTCCATATATACTGTAGAATACATTATTTTCGCTTGGAATTTATTTTCGCTGAAGGGATGATTCCGTGAAAAAAAAATCCAGCGAATATACTTTTTTTCCTATATTTCACATTAAACTCATCAAAAATCAATGAAAACAAATTCCATACAAAACGTCCAAAAAGCCTTTTCAGCGAAAATTAATTCAAGCGAAAATAAAGTATTCCACAGTACTAAGTATTCAAGCAATTAGACTTGCGCTTTTTCAAAGCAGTGACATGAGAACGATGTGTGCCAAGACCATGCAGAAACCAAAATGTTTTCTGAGCCATATATATTGCCAGTAAAATTTGAATTAATACCTGAAATGATTTGTTGAAAGCTAAAATTCTCTGATATATTTACACCCTCTGATACATGCAATACATATTAAATTGCATTTTATTACATCCTCAAGCCAAATCAGTGACAGCTAACTGAAGTAGAGCTTAATCTAGTAGCCTTAGCTTGATGTCTGACCCTCACCTCATGTCTAGATGTGTTAATTCTGTGGTTGACAGAGAATGCAAAACAATTTTATAGCCATGCATGTCCTCTAATGTCTCTATTATAAGTGAATCTCTAATAGAAGTAAACATCAACTAAAAATGCATATACTGCTTCATCATTAAAATATAATTAACTTTATGACTTTATAGACACACCTCTGTCATTTTCATGTATTAAAGCGGGGGAGTCGTCACCAACACATGCGTCAGATGGCCATAGTGTGTCATTGTTTACAAACAACAATTTTAGAGTGTGTTGTTATCATTGCTTGGGAATCAATTCCTGTGCGTGCACAGGTGACGACCCCCTCGCTTTAACCTTTTCACCACCAGTTTCCTCTTTTCATCACAAATTCACAAAATTGTCCTGTTTATAGTCTGCACTTTCTTCAGAAGATTGGGACAAAAATAACACAATTTTGGAGGTAAAAACTGAAAAAAGGAGGACTATGTCATTGACAACTACTTCTTTTTAATATATCACATATTTTGGCTAAAATAGCCACATTTGAACACATTTTATGGTTTTAGCTTTGTTTTGGGAGGGATTTTTTACATATTTGCAAAGTGGGAATACAACTTAAAAAAAAAAATTAAAGAAAATAAAAACAAGTACTTGCATTACATCATCCTTTTAAGAAATACATAAAGTTCGATATATATGGCTCCTGAACTACATTTACTGAAAAAATTTTGAAATGGCCACCAGTCAGCCATCTTGAATCAGATCTGACAATAAAGTTTGACATTCCTTTTTTTGGTTTATAAATGGTAACAATGATTTGTTAAAAAACAACATAAATGACAGCAGAAAATGTCAGAGAATTGATGACATAATAAACCAACCAGAAAACAGAAGGAACAATAATCAAACAGTATTGAAATTGTGACGACTGTGTTCGTTTAACCCATATATTTTTATGAGATGTTAGATGCCATACGTGCTGCACTAAAGAATCGATTTATATGAGAAAGCAACAAGAAATCCCCTAAGGGCATTAACCCATGTCGTCTGTATCAAATAAAATAAAATATCTTTTACAAACCACTTTTTGCCCTTGAAAGAGTTGTCATGGAAACTATATTTGTTTCACACTAATTAGTACAGCTATTTGAATACCTGAGTAATGTGCATTGTATACAGAGTCATTACCCCATAATAGATAAAGTTGCTAGGCAACCAGTCCATGGATGTAAATGGTAATGTGGATTCATGGGTGAAATAAAAGAGCACATAAAATTTGAACTCAACAAACATGTTTATATTACCACTTCTTGAAAATTCTGATGAAAATTGTAACACAAATTCTTTTCTTTTTGATATCAATGTATACCACATATGCAAATGACACTGAGCTACATTTTTATTTCAACCTCAACTGTACTTAAATTTAAACACATATAATGAAAAACTAGCATTTAAAATGTGCTGCAAAAACTGATGTTACTATATAAATTATAATTTCCCTGTAAACTGAAGCCAGTGTCTCAAACAATTGCGTGACTCAAATATAAATTTAATAACCTTGGTTTCGTGAAAATATCATTTGTTGCGTGATGA